TCTTTTTTTGCATTCTACTTCATCAACAACTCTACCAAGAGGGTTTGGACGCCCCCTATATGTTTCCTATAAATACTAAGTTATTCTATACAATTTTATGGTATAAGAAAATAGATTACTAAAATTATAGGATCCATTGTAATTTTCTCTCTTCTCCATTATTATTGAGTCAATAAAATCTCTTAATTCTTCTATCATATTCATGTCTTTTATTCTTTTACTTGATCAAATATTTCATTATTATTTGTCATATAACTTCAACATCTCAATTCGATGGTTTGTTTAACAACAATTGGTATCAGAGCAATTTTGTTATCTTGGTATTTTACAACAATATGTGAATTGACATTGTTCAAGGTCGTGCAAGTCATCGAGCGGGCACCAATATTAGGGTTAATGTATTTAGCAACTATAGTGTTCAAACTCCAAATTCGTACCATTATACTACAAATAAGTTTTGATGTACACTACTCTCTACATAGACCTTAAAGTTAGAGAAAAAACTATCCAATTAAAGCATCATCCATGAGAGCGTTGGTTGTTATTTTTCTGTTCTTGACGAAGATGAAAGTGTTTAAGCACACTGAGTAAGCTGCTCGTTCTTCAGTATGTAAAATAGATGCAGGTGATAGGCATAGAATTAGGGATATTAAATGAGAGTCACGAACGCAAGCCGGGAAGAGATTTTTGCGTCGGTTCCTATATGAGACAGCTCGCCAAAGGCTCGCAAGTTTACTCACCATAATGAGTAAAATATTCAATTTCAATATAAAAAAACTTGCAAGCTGATTTGATAGTCGACTCAACACACCAAGGGATGAGCTTGTGGGTGCGCCGAGCGCCTATTTAACACCCCTACATAAATTTGTTGAAGAAAGGCAACCTTCTAGATGAGTATAGTTTCTAGCTACTTGTATCAAAATATGGATCCTTTTCGTCCCATAGGCCTATTCCAGCCAGTCTCGACCCAAGACTGGCATTTAGATTTTGGAGGCTTTAGACCAACTTTATATAAGACCTCTCCTATGTGAAGCCTTAGATAGCAGCCTATGTTGCCCACATTCAGAATCAATCGTCTCGGCCTAGCCACCTTGATTTGGGCCATGAAGAAATGTGACAAGCAGTTTGACCCTATATGCCACAAAACTCGGCTAGTCTGGAGATGTTACCATCGGTCCCAGGCCTCCTTACAACAAGGCCAGCCTATAGACACCACTAGCAAATACAAAGCTTTTTCTTCATGCCAATGAACGATAAATTTACATAAATGTTCCCATATAGGTGTACCATCAATATGGAATCAGTCCTTTTATACTAGAAAGAGCATCCTGAAGCAATTGAGATCCTATGCGAATAGCTTACCTACCAGCAAGCTCACTTCCTCGGTTAGAGTTGAATATCTAACGAAACTTGAAAACATTCAAGAAGGAAAATAGGTAAAAGAAAAGGAAAGAGAAGTCTCGCTGAAGATAAAAATGGTATTACCCATGTTATATTCATTTAGTCTCCACGAGTCACAACGCTATACAAACGAACCTACTGAATTTTTCAATATTTCTATTGTATACATAATATATGCTACACACTAGTACGATGTCCACGTTTTGCAGCATTCCAAATCAGGATCATGATTCCAAACCCCAGAACAACAAAAACTGTAAAAATTAGGAAGCTCGTGATGTACATAGAATTCGATTCACATCCACACCAATGTTGATGAACTTGTCTTCCACATTTGTAGCAGAAACTAATGCCGCACCTGCATTAAACCTCAAACCAACTTAAAATCTGCCCCACAGAATATTACTGTTATCTTCAATCTTTTGTATGTTTTGTGATACCAATATACATTCCCGGATTTATATCTAAATTCATTTTGAAAGGCATTATTAACCAGGCTGCAATATTTATAACCAATGATAGAACATTGTTCCTTCAGTTTTCAAATTTCAATAGTCAAATCGACAGTCTTTCAAAGGTCAAAAACCATACGTCTAGTTCTCCCATCTCAATCATCAAAAAAGTCAAGTACTGGGGATAAAAGTAATCAATCGACAAATGATAGGGCTAATAATCATTGAAAGAACAACAACATCAAGCATGTGTCTGTGAGCGAATGCATGTCTTTGCACGTTTATCTACTTATAGATAAAGAATCTAAGAGACCATAAATACTACTCATTTCTCTAATCGGTTAAAAAATTAAACCTATCCAGCCAGCGGCCAAACTTAAGAATGATATTTTGACACAGAATGGCTTCTTGGCTTATTCCTCTTTCAAAATAAGGTAAGACTTTCATGTTCAAACAACCAATGATACACAGTTGAGGTACTTAGAATGATTCAATTATACAACTGACTATTGAAAGAAGGATGTGGACTTATTAAAGACAGGTAGCCGAATGAAGCAACTTGAGGCTCAAGTCCAATAGAAATGAGAAGCTTTCCAAAGAATTATTGCACGAACTCCATGCTTAGGAGTCAATTATCTTCTCACTTAGACTAATCTTTTAACACAAATTTGTTGCGAAAAAGGCTTGGTTTTTTGCTCCTTTTCTATTAAATACACCAGAAAGCAGCAACAACCAGCCATATTGGTAATCAAATTAAATTCATCGACAACATATACTTATATGTCTGTATTTGATCCAAGCAATCGTGTAAGACTCCACATGTAGAGTAATATTAATTAAGAACTCTCTACAAACGCATAGAATGCATATGCACAAAGCAAATTAAAAGGTACACAAGTTGAATTAAGATTTTACCTGCATTTGATAATTGAGCAGCCTTCAACGTGTTCCACAAAATGGCGGCACCGGGGACACCGATTCCACTTCCTCTGCTCCACGAGTCTCCCAAAAGCAATATCATTTCTGTCCCTCAATTCTCCACTCTCTTCACACCCAAACCCGGCATGCCAAACCCTCATACACTTGAAGCAAAGCCAATTCTTACAACTGGGACACTTGGATTTCTTCAAATTCCCACCACATTCATTCAGGATCAAAGAATTACAATTCCTGTACGGACAATAACACCTCTCCCCTCCCAGGATCGCCGTTTCACAAAGCACATCGCACCACCGCACAAAAAGCGCTGGACTCATCACCGACCGACACGAAACTGGGTCCAAGAACTGATTGCAGTTCAAAGCCGGGCATTTGATGTTCCCGACGTTGTCATCCTCGAGCTTCACTTGGATGTACTTGATCATGCAATCAGTACAAAAAGGGTGGCTGCAATTGTCCCTGTTCTTGAATTTTCTGTCCGGTAATATCATCGGCTCGATGCATATTTCGCAAGTGAATGCTTGATTTTCATCTTCTGGGATTTCTTGGTTTTGATCGTCTTGTTGACCTTGAAATTGTTTGGTTTGGTTTGTACTGTGAGGGAGTGCCTGCAGAGTGTTTCCCATTTTCGTGTGAGCTGAATTGGTGGGCATTCGAAGAGGTCAATATTTATATATAAATTGAGTTATCCCTCTCACACGTCTTCTCCTTATTATTATTTTTTTTCTTTTCTAAAAATCAACATTTTTATACTTATTTAGTTAAAAAAATAAATAAATAGTTCAAATGCCTCAATTTCAAGAAAGAAAAAAAATATAAAACTGACAAAAAACCGAATATAAATTTACATAATTCAATAAACTGTGCAATAAAAAAAATAAATAAATAAATTAATTATCGAACTAAATTTTAAATCACATCATTATCTCAACCTAACAAGGTTCAATAAATTTGGCAAATTTTTCGGTTGAAACGCTCATCTTTTTTCGTTTAACTGTTCAAAAGCTTGATATTCACGTATCTTCTTTCTCCATAATCTCTGATCTCTTTTTCTCTTGTATGACGAGTTTATCACGCCAAAGTGCATTCCATTTTGTAACAAGACTTCAATCACACGCCTTTTGTAAGTTGTCGTTTCCCTTTTTATTTTCCATTATTTTCTTCCTTTCTTTGTCACATAAACTTTCCCCTTCTTTTCCTTTGTTATCCTTCCATGTTATTTCTCAAATCACTTCTTGAACAAATTAATTCAGCCTCAACTGCATAACACTTAGTGCCTGTTTGTCAACCATTATTGAGAAGAAAATTGTGTAATGAATAGTATTTTTTGAAAAATGTGGGGTTGAAATTGCAAGAAACTTTATCGGTTTATGTGTTAAATATTTTATTATTTGAATGTGTGGTAGAGATTGATTACTGTAGAAAACAATTTTTTGAAAAATGATAGACAAACAAGAGCTTATATTGTTGTACTCCCTATCTCATCCGCGCACCTTTTTCCTCCGCTCAATGTCGTGTCAATTAGGGGTCGACCCAAAATTATTTCACAAATTCGGGAGGATAATTTGGGTTAATCCTTAGCATTAAACAACATCCTATACTACAACCTATGCACGTAAATTTCGTGGGACTTTTTGGGACTCCATATCTATCTTGCAATTTGTATGATATTCCTTGTACTTACACGGTTTCATCACAAGGAAATTTGTGGAAAGTAATGGCTAAATAAATAAAAATTCCCTTGCAATGTAAGTTGGGGAGATATTCAAGAGGGCAACGTGTAAATTTTAGTTATCAACTACATTTATTAGTTATAAAAAGCTACAAGGGGCTTATATCAAATGATGTTTGGATATGTTATTAAAAAAAATTATGACAATAAATTTAATATCGACTAAATGAATTTTTCACCATTTTATTTTGCTTGTTTCGATTTGAAACAAGGAGAGTCCGATTAGCAGAAATGTAAGCAGAACAACTTCGAATGCTACAACGTATTTAAGTATCGATCTTATTTTGCACATAATAGGGAGATATCAAATATGTTATATGGTAAAATTAATTCTCGATAAATATAGAAATAAATCGAGGTTTCAAAAGTTTGAACTTTAGTGGGCATTTGGTGGGGATTAAAATTAGATTTTTGGTAGATTGTGATTGAAATTTCTGAAACAATAAAACTATTTGTACAAAGTTGAGTTACAAAAGTTGGGTTACAAAGTGTGTTGGCAAAATCCAGACTGTTGATTTCAAATGATTTAAAAATCTATTTTTAAAGTGATTTGTATAGATGTTATTTTGTCAATCAACTTTGTAACCCAACTTTGTACATGTAGCATGACTCGATTAAAATCTGATTTTAATAAAAAACAAACAGGGCATTAGTTTTCTATTTTGCTTGTTAAAGGAAAAGATGTCTGAAAGCATTGTCTTTCCACAGTATCGGTTTGAGAAAAGAGTCAGCCATTAAATCAATAGAACTTAATTTATCTTCAAAAAGAGAAAAATATTGAGATGTTATTGAAATTTGGTAAGGAAATCAAATGATAAGGCTGGTTAAGTAAAAGGGTAAAAGAATTGAGAATTGGATGGTCAAGTACGTCTCTTTGAATGGAAGCAACTATATAGCAAATGTAAATTACTCTATATAATAATATGTGACAAAAGGACTTGCAAGGGATTAATTGAAAATAAATGTCAAAGGGATAATATGGACGGAAGCCCAACTTTTAGCACCAATAATTAGGGCAGTCCGTGGGTCGGTTCGATTCGGTTTTGAAGAGACTCGAACCGACCCAAAACTTTCGGGTATTTAATAAATGGACCCGTCGAGTCCAAATATAAATGATCAACTTAATAAGGTGAGGACAATCCTCCCCTAATAAGTCGGTTTTATTAAGTGGAGT